TAGCCCCCTTTTTGGGCAGGCAGCACAATAGCAAGGAGGATGCTGTTACTCCCCAGAGGCTCTGCTGCTGAAAAACATCACCAAGCTCAAGTAAAAGGTCAGTAGTTAGGATTGCATCTCTTGTTTTCTTCAGTTTTCCTCCTCCGTCAAAGGCAGTTCAACATTCTTTGCACACCCCCCTCCCTCCTTCTGAGAAATGCAGGAAGGAAGTGCTTGCAAAATAGTTTAATTTAAAAGAAGGCACAATCACACATAGCAAACCCTGCTGCAGCCTGTGAGCAGGACGTGTCCACTGCTCCCCGTTCCCACTGCACACAAACGAGTCCCTCCCTGCCCACAGCGCCGGGCAGGGCTGTGCTCCAGCACCTGGGCTGGAGAGCTGTGCTTCCGTGCTGCAGGCAGCCCCCGCTCCCCCAGAGCACACAGCACATCTGCCCAGGAGCCAGGGCTGTGCAGCAGGACGAGAAGGAAGCAGGGAGCCCTGCAGCCTCCCAGGGCACTGCAGGGTACCAGGCACCGAGTGGCAGCGCCGTGCTCCTGGGCTGCAGGACAGGGTCACCTCCTGTCTCTCTCAAAACTAGTGCTTGTTTGATTTCACAGGATGTTCTTCCACCAAGGCTTGTTACCTGAACCTTACTAGGGTTTGGGAAGGTATTTGGGACAGTTGGTTTAACTTGACCCTTTTCTTCACTAGATTTACATGAAAGAACCAGAGTGGGTGGAAGCAGCTGTTATACTCCATGCCTTTTTGCAAAGAGGAATGTAGAGACCATCAGGCAATTCCTGGAAAAATCTTTCATTATCCATCAGTTTCTGCTGTATGACCACATATCCAATCTAAACATGATTCTTCCCAGGTACACGGTGTTTTTGTATCCCTGGGCAAACAGCACTTAACATCACAAGCTTATTTCTTTGTCTTTTCTAAGACTCTGGCAGTCCCAAGACTTCCCTTGAGCCATGAACCACAACAGCCACATGTCAGGACAGGCTGGCAGTCCCTGCCTGCCCTCCCTTCTTTGAGAATTCCCAGTCCTTCCAGCCCAGTGTCCTGACACAACCCCTCAGTGCCTGTTCCTGGGTACCACGTTCCCCTCATTGCTCGTGGGTTCATCTCCAGCTGGCATTCTTGGACTTCATGGGACACTGCCAACAAATCACAGTCCTGTCTCTTCTTTAACCCCTTGCTGTCACAGGGCATCATTAGGTTAATGAAATAACCATTAACCTATTTCATCAGGTTAATGAAATAATGATGAGATCAATGCATGAAGGACCTGAGCAGAATCACACCCATGACCACTCCAGTGGTGCCTCCTCCCAAACAGGATACCCAGGACAAGCAAACACACAATCAGTTATTTTCTAGAAGGAAATTTTAAAATGCTGCATGCTATTAACATGAGCATTTTTGCTATTAACATGAGTACAGTCACACAGCTTCACAGAGGGGAAGATTAACGCTCTCCCAAACAGGGAAATGAGAGTACCAAATGCCACCAGCAGGCTGGGGACTGGGGTCTGCAGCAGGACCTGAAACCAGGTTGCTGAGTTTGGCTTCTTTTATTTTAAAGTTGACAGCTTCAGCTTCCAGCATCTACACCCAGCACTGAGCATGGGGAAACCTGCTGTTCTCTAGCTCTAGGCCAGATGGGTAAATTTTTTGGATTAATATTTTCATAACTATGCAGCCAGGGCTGCTGTTTATTATCCATCCCATCCCCAGGAACTTCTTGCCTTTTCTTTTTCACTTGCTGTTGCTTATGTGCATTTCTGATAGATTTAAAAATAAGTGTTAGCACTGCAGAAATACCTTCAGCTTTAAAATAAGGGTTCCATAATCCTGCATTCTTTATAGACCTTAAATAAAAAATTATTTCTGTCCCTGCAGAGTGTTGTAAAAGCATTTAAGGAGATTACTGCCCACCCCATGCCTGCTGCAAGCCCAGACAAAGGACAATAAAAATGTGAAACAGATGAGAAGGAATGAAAGAACCCCAGAAAGGCACATTTAGCTGGGAAGAGGAGGTGCCCCTGCATGTAGTCAGCATAGAGCCTGACCACTCCTTCAGTGAAAAAAATTTTTCTAATATCTAATCTGAACCTTCCCTGTTGCAACTAAGGCTGTTTCCTTTTGGCCTGTCTCCTGGCACAGGGCAAAAGAGACCAAACCACCACCTCACTACAACCCCGCTTCAGGAACTGGTAGGGAGAAATTCCCAGCTCAAGTTTGTCAGGATACTAAAGCCAAACTGAAAAATATAAACCCAAATAGTTGGTTTAATGAATGGTTAAAAGCAGGTTACAGAGCAGAGAGATCTGAAAATATGACCCAAATATTCTAATGCAGCACTTAAACAAAAGCAGTGATACAGGGAAAAAGATCCCTGATCTGAGCCTCTTCTTAGAGAGAATCCTATTCAGCAAAGGTGATCCAGTCAAAGGTGAGCCCCCACCTGACTTAAGGAAGGTTCCTCCCTCCTTAAGGCATCACAGATGGCTTTGCCTCAGCACTGCCCTGAAGAGCTGACAGAAAGCTCTGCCTCATCCCAGCACCCACAGTGACCCACACATCAGCCAGGGTGCTCTGCACCCCAGAGCATCCCCAGCACCTCCTTGGCCCCAGGCCCCACCACCTGCCAGCACAGCAGCTCCTCAGCAAACATCAGCCCTTTGCCTCCCTTCATCCCTTTCTAATTTGTTGAGGTGCTTCTTTGAAGGGCAACTTTGATTATTAAGATACTTAGCGATAAAAGGAAGGGCAGCCAACGTGCAGTGCCTGCTGCCAGGCCCAGCCTCAGAGGAGCTGGCTGGTGCTGGGCTGCAGGGCTGTGTCCCCAGGCTGTGCCCCCTGACTGTGTCCCCAGGCTCTGCTCCCAGGCTGTGTCCCCAGGCTGTGTCCCCAGGCTGTGCACCCAGGCTCTGATCCCAGGCTGTGTCCCCAGGCTGTGTCCCCAGGCTGTGCACCCAGGCTGTGTCTCCAGGCTGTGTCCCCAGGCTCTGCTCCCAGGCTGTGTCCCCAGGCTGTGTCCCCAGGCTGTGTCCCCTGACTGCGTCCCCAAGCTCTGCTCCCGGCACTGTCCCCAGGCTGTGTCCCCTGACTGTGTCCCCAAGCTCTGCTCCCGGCTGTGTCCCCAGGCTCTGCTCCGGTGTTTATCCCGGCCGGGTGTTTTCCCCTTGCGCTGGCGATTGTTTGGCCGGCTGGTGATGGATGGAGGAGAGGGCTGTGTCTGGAAACGCGCTCCCGAGCCGTCAGGAAGCTCGGGGGGCCTTTGCCCGTACTTCCTTCCTGCATGTAAGGGGAGCACAGAATGGGAAAAACCTTGGCTGTCTCTCACCCTGAGAAAAGGTCTCCCCTTCCAGCTGGATTACAGTAACAGTATTTTAATCTTTCACAAGATTATAATATCCTTCCTCTCTAAGTATAGCTCCAGTGGCAACTCAGAGAATGAAGTGAACCAACAATGTTAAACTCAGTAGGTGGTGCTGGAAGCTGAACGAATGGAGGTCCAGATCGGAAGATCCTTATCCTCAGTCAGGATATAAATCACCAGCGATCACACCTGTCTAACCCAGGACTTGACTCCAAGAGCAACCAGGACGAAGCACTTCAACAGGAGGTGTAAAATGTACACAAGTGATACATTGAAAATTAGTCCATCTGGACAGATTCATTCCTGTGCCTGTTTTAGAGAGTGGATCTAAACTCGAATCACAACATTTATTACACCTACAAAAAAGAAGGCTGCAATAAGCAATCTATGAATATTCTGACCAGACGTTTCTCACGAGCACCCAGGATGTGTTACAGAGACTTGAATGTCTTTTTCCCCAAACCCAGCCTCTAGGTCCTTCTGTGGATGATTCATGAATCTCCATGACATCCTGATGTGTCATCATCACCTGTTCACAGTAATAAAAGTACGTGCTGAGTATTAGAGAGTAGATATTTCATACTACCACAGGAATTTTTCTAAAATTTTCTCTTTTTGAGCCCCAAATTCAAACCCATGGACAATGGTGAGGGCTTTAGTGTAGGCAGATGTTCAAAACCCCAAATTGCTCTGCCCCAGCCATGTGGCCTGAGACAGCCAGAGCAGGGCACATGGGTGGCGGCTCTGAGGACCCCTCTCCCTGCAGCCCAGCAAGGGGAGATCCCAGCAATCCCCTCATTTGTCTGGGCAAGTTTGCCCAAGGAGTCTGTAAAAGCAAGAAAGAAATTCTCAGGACTCAACAACAAAAGAAAACTCCCCCAACCTGTGAGCAGACAGCTCTCCTAACAGCCTCTATTTCTGACAAAGGCCTCAGACAAAAAGACCTCACCCATGAACAAAGAGTGGGGAACAATGGGAACTGTCAAAAAATAGCCCTCACGTCAGAGCTAAGAATGCCCCTTGACACTTCCAAAAAAGCCCAGGCTGAGCAGAGCCTGGGAGGCCGCAGGCACAGCCCCTGGCATCCGCCTGTCCCAGCACAAACTGCCAGCAGCACTCGGGGAGGCTGAGCTCCCACAGCCAAAGATGGGGATGAAAGAAGAGAGCAAATTTATGGCAGGTCTGAGCCAGAAGTAACAAATTCCTGTCTATCCAATCTCTCCAGCAGGGACCCTGACCCTCGGACTCGATGGGACATACCTGACAATGGTGTGTGCACATCTTCCCTTACTGCAAAGGGTAACCAATTACCAATGCAATTAATGAGAAAACTAAGTAATGGCAAATAGCAGAATGAGTTGTCTAACACAGTAATAAAATCCCTGTGTTCTTCTGAACTGGTAAGGACTTCCAGAAAAAAAATTGCTAGAAAAATTTTCAACCTGGACTAGAATTCTAAGAATGCTGATACCCAGATATGGACAGGAAACCTCAAAGATCCAATAATCTTTATGGCATGCAATTTGGCATTGATTCACATGTTTTGCTTTATTTGTGACTCAGCATTCTTCTCCAATAGCAGTAAGAAAATAAATGGAAAGCAAATCATGCTGAATGAAAACTCACCCGTGGGCTGATCACTTGAGTAACTGTCCTGATTCATCCTCCCAAAGGCAGCACCAGATCAGGATGCTGAGGTTGGAGGTCTAAACTCAGAGATGCAGCTCAAGCTCTTGTTTCTGGAAAGAGAATGTAGAGTTACTGTCAAACTGTAGGAGCTTCACCCTGTGTGAGAAAGAGAGTATCTTGTGTGTGGTCTGTTGTCCTTGAATTTAGCAGGAGAGGGGAGAACCTACATGCATGTGCAACTTGGTGTAGGAGCCATAGGACACGTGCCTGAAGATCAGAGAATGCATTGGGAAACTGAATGGAGTCAACCAAGAAGCCCTGGAAAGTGGCATCTGAGAGCCCATGGAAGGTAAAACAACATGGAGTTAAAAACACAGCTGGGTTCCTGGAATCAGCTGAGTTCCAGATTTGAACTGCACAAACAGGAGTCCCTAATGTCTTCACTTAAGTAGCCAAACAAAACTCCTGCACAGGGTGAAGAGTTGGACTCGATGACCCTGAGGTCCGTTCCAACTCAGCAGATTCTATGATTCTCTTCAAACCCCAGACCTACCTAACCCCAATCCGGACTAACAGGCCATGTAAAACTGTGTTCTTGCCACAGCTACACAGCTCCTCCTCTTTGTTTGCTTGCCCTTCCACTCGTCATCACATCTTGACTGTGGTAGAGTTGGGAACAGAACCCCTGTCTCCCAAATCCCAGTCCAGTGCCTTAACCACCACATCCTTCCTGCTGAATCACACTGCAGGATTGTTTACCAGGAAGGAAATTCCCCCTCGAGAGCACTCACTCTGAGTGTGCTGGTGGAACACAAATGCTTAGAAAAACACAAACAGAGAGGCAATAACAACAAGTGATTGAAGTCCCTGTGCTGGCTGGAGGCACAGCAGCACCTTGGGTTTGCTGTGGAGCAGTGGAAGCCAGGCCCCTGGGAGCAGGACACAACACAGAACAAGCAGCGCATCCAGATGGCCTCCCAGCAACAGCCTCCTGCTCTCCACAGATGATCTGTGACTCTGGAAGTCTCTTCCCCACATCTAGCACAAGGTGTATGTTGCTCAGGGCCATTCCAAAGGTTTGGATTCTCAGCAGTGGGAGAGTCACCTTTGGGAGGAAACCTGCCAAGTGCAAGCAGCTGTGGATATGATCCATAGGGTCAGAATTAACCTCAACATATTGTGCAAGCAAAGGGCCCCTGCTTTCTTTAAGGTCTTTAGCTCAAAAACAAACAAACAAACAAACAAAAACCCAAAAAACAAAACAAAACAACAAAAGAAACCAACCAACCAACCAACCAACCAACAAAAAACCAAACCAAAACAAAACAAAACAAAATCCAAAAAAAAAAAACCACCCAGGCATGTATGAGGAGAAGATACCAAAGATGGAACACATATGTTTAGCCTAAACACACTTTACCCCATTGGTCTCCTAGAAAACAAAAAGGGCTGTAATTCATCCATGATCTGTCAAAAAACACAAACCCACTGAAATGGCAGATTCATGGTCAAGGACTCTGAAGAATTTGGCTCTGCTCAGCAGTTGGGCAAAGGGGAAGAATTTCCCCATTCACAAGCAGTGGCTTTCCAGGTTGTGTCCCACGGGACCCCACCACAGTAACCAACAAACACAGGCTTGGGCAGATGGCAGAGCTTGGACTGGATCTCAGGATATTCCCTTCAAAAATCACTGCATGGGAATCCCAGCAAGACCTGAGGACTCCTGGGGGATAGGGAACCAAAGCCTCCCTCTCAGCAGCGTCCTGGGGGTCACACCCAGATCTAGAGCAGCTCTAACAAGCCCCAAGACGGGGCTTCTACTACAGCAGAAGTTTCTCACCAGAAGACACTTTGAGGCACTTCAATTCCTTTGAACAGTAAAAAAAAAGTCACAATTTCTCCTTGGGGCTTCTTTTGACCTTGACATGACCTGAAATCCCTCAAGCCTTGCTTTTTGACATCCTATGAGAGTAATTCAGGAATTAACATGAAATGTAATTCCATTGTTCTCTATTCAAAAGGCTATTCTCTCATTCCTTGCCTGCTGTTTTTGGGGTCAGGATCCAGTTTGTAGCTATTTCCATTAGGTCTAAATCAAGTGTGTCCAGAGGGAGAAGATAACTGCATGTGCTCAGTCCTGCAGGATGCTGTGATCAGTGTGGAGGGGTGGGTGATGATCAAGAAGATCATGGCTGGTGCCATGCAGGACTGCTTTGGTTTGCATTCCAGCCAGAAGAGCTAAGGGTGCACACAGACAGCCTGACTAACACCGTGCTGAGGATGGAGGGATGGATGGATGGATGGATGGAGGGATGGATGGATGATGGATGGATGATGGAGGGATGGATGGATGGGGGATGGATGGATGGATGGATGGAGGGATGGATGGATGATGGATGGATGATGGAGGGATGGATGGATGGGGGATGGATGGATGGATGGATGGAGGGATGGATGGATGATGGATGGATGATGGAGGGATGGATGGATGGGGGATGGATGGATGGATGGATGGAGGGATGGATGGATGATGGATGGATGATGGAGGGATGGATGGATGGGGGATGGATGGATGGATGGATGGAGGGATGGATGGATGATGGATGGATGATGGATGGATGGATGGATGATGGACAGATGGAGGAATGGTGGATGGATGGATGATGGACGGATTGATGGATGGATGATGGACGGATTGATGGATGGATGATGGACGGATTGATGGATGGATGATGGACGGATTGATGGATGGATGATGGATGGATGGACAGTGTCTGATGCCTGCCCTGCCTGTAGCTCACACATGCCCCAGGGGCAAATCAACCTGCAGGTGGATGGGGATGGTATGAACAGAGCTCCCATTCTGCTTTCTCAGTAACAGCTGAGGCCACAGCCACTGCCAGACAGGGAACTGTGGGCCACTGGTTTCCTTCTGAGTGATTTCAGTTCAAGCAGGGCCATTGTTGGGCTGGAGTGAACAAGGTGCTCCTGACCCATGCTGGGAAAAGCAGGAAGTCTCCCTCCTGACAGTCTGTTAACTCTCCATTGGATCAGCTCTGGGTTGCTATCTCAAGCTCTGCCTGAGCTGGTGCTTCCCTTAATGTTTAGAAACGTGATGAAGTGACCGTATAAAAAAATCTTATCTCTTCTCAGAAAATGTCCCCAAAACAAAAAAGGAGGTTTCTAGTCTGCCTGGGTATGGAAAATATTTGAAACTGTGAAGTGAGAGTAACTGAGTAACTTAAATCTTTAGAAACAAGAAAACAAACACTGCAAAGCAGTACTTATTTGTAGGCGTCTTCATACGGGGATTTTGAAGCCTATTTCACATTTTTACAACCTTCCTTTTATTGCCTTGGTGTTACAGAACATACAGGCACACACACCTAAAAAAGATATCACAGAATCACAGAATGTCCTGAGCTGGGGGGGACCCCAAGGATCACCCAGCCCAGCTCCTGTCCCTGCCCAGACCCCCCACCAAGCCCACCCTGGGCATCCCTGGCAGCGCTGTCCAAAGGCTCCTGGAGCTCTGGCAGCCTCGGGGCCGTGCCCATTCCCTGGGGAGCCTGGGCAGTGCCAGCACCCTCTGGGGGAAGAACCTTGCCCTGAGCTCCAGCCTGAGCTGCCCTGGCCCAGCCCCAGCCATTCCTTGGCTCCTGTCCCTGTCCCAAAGCAGAGATCGGAGCTGCCCCTCAGGAGGAAGCTGCACATTGCTCTGAAGTTTCCAGTGTCATGGACCCCTCCCCAGAAAAAACATGAGTTAGGAGGTGGGTGAAGGAGTTGTAGTCCTAGGAGTGCCTGCAAAAGCATCCTCTGAAGATCATGGGTGCCTTTTCATTGGCTATTACAGACTTTAGATTCTGTACTCAAACCCAGTTTAGCTTCAATTTAGCTCCCATCAGCTACAAACCCAGCATTCACTCTTCACAAACTTCATACAAGCTTCATTCTTCACAATGTCCCAGCTAAGCTACACCATTCAAAATCTCTTAAATTCTGGTATCTCAGGCTGCAGCGTGTCACAAATGACCTGCCTGCCAAGCCCTTTCACAAGCTGTGTCTGTAGCTATGTTCTTTCAGAGTGGGCAGAAGTGATGAAAAGGCTGCAGCCGCTCTGCACCTCAGGCTGAAATGCAAATCGCAGTTCCACCTAATTTTACAGACTTCCCATTATCACATAAATCTTTAACTACTCAGAAATAGAAACTTCACTTTGCTGTGATAAGGATATGGAAAAAAACACTGACAAAAAATTTTAAAAAAAGAAAATTCAAACCAGGCAGGGTTCAGCCAGTGCCTGCCATGACGCCGGGCCTGTGTGAAGAACCCCAGGCTACGTTCCCTCCCCTCCACGGCCCTGAAACCAGCAGGGCTCCACAAGCTCCCATCTGGACAGGGTTGCTCAGGACCACCAGGACCACTAGCACCACAGAAGCAAAGGGGCCAGGACACGACCCTGCCTCCTGTATAAATTCATTTGATTGGAGCTTATTCTAAGGAGATTACTTCACTTGAATGGAATTTTTATTAAATGATTATTGACTTTTGATAATTTATGGGAGTAATTTAATAATTTGCCACCATTCATGCCATAATAAGATTCATTGGAAGCGCTGAAGGTTCAAAGCAGAACACTCATGGCAGAAGCCAGCAGAGCCACAGTGCTCCAGGGAACACCCTCTGCCTCATTAGCTCAGACATTAAAACTGGAAAGCAGCTGACAAAACATCAACAGATGTCTGTCAGAGTCTGTTGGATTTTCAAGGCTGTCCCCTCAGCATGGTGAAGCCCGCCAGCTTGACAGGAATGTATTTTTTATAGAATTCCTGTCCAAGTTCCTAATATCAAAAAGCAAATTGTTGTGACCCCAGGGCATAAGTACAACCTGAACCCCTGGAGGAAGCTCTGGATACCAAAGAATGTATCTCCCTGCATGTCTGCAGAGTTCCACGACCCAGCTCTCCCTGGTCATTTCACTTTTCTTACCCATCAGTCACCTCCAGCCACTTGGAAAGCGAACCCTGGACACAACCAGCACACGCGAGCGGCTCCGGGCAGCGCTGCCAGGACGGTGCTGCCGCTGGGGCGGCTCTGGCGGTGCCGCAGC